GGGATGAAACACAGACAGACTGCATCGTAAAATGTCTTCTTACACATGACACTTAAGTCCAATCCCCTCTCCATTCTATTATTTCTTGCTGAATATAGGCTCGATCAGTGTTTACAGCTTAGGGATGAAACACAGACAGACTGCATCGTAAAATGTCTTCTTACATATGACACTTAAGTCCAATCCCCTCTGTTCTATTATTTCAAGCAACTGATTTTCAGGTTGCGCATTTTTGCAGTTATATTATTGAAGTTCAGACAAAGGAGCCAGCAATGGATGGTTATCGTGGAGCAGCACCGCCGTACTGGATGCGAGCAATGGAGCACCACCAGCAGCAGCAGCCAGTCCCGCCACCACCACCGCCACCCCAAGAACGTGTCTTCTATCCGTTGCTGGGCCAACAGAGCCGTGGAACCTCGGGTGGTGGTGGTGGCGCCCCACGAAGCACTCAGCATAGAACAGGCGGCGCAAGCACGGGGTTCGGCTATTATCTGAGGGACCAGAGTTATTATCCCCCTCCACAAGGACATCAACAACATCATCAGCATCAGCACCAGCACCAACAGTATCAGGAGCAAGAGGATTATGGCAATGCTGACAGTGGCGGCGGCTATTACGGCTACGCAAGTTTCCTGGCCCAGCAACACTCGTCGAATCAGCAAAGTACTGGAAGACAAGAACGCGGCACTTTCCCAAGAAAAGTTAGCGTTTTTCATGTGATTTTCAGCAAAAATTTTGATTAAAAACGATATAATAATGATAATAGTAGTAATAATAATAACAATAGTAATAATAATAATAATAGTAACAATAATAACAGCAACAGTAATAATAGTAATAATAATAGTAGTAATAATAGTAGTAATAATAACAGTAGTAGTAATAACAGTAGTAATAACAATAGTAGTAATAATAATAGTAATAATAATAATAAATTGTGGCCGTTAGAAAGCCGAATCGTAATCCTAAAACAAGTGGACGGCCCAAAGAAGCCAAAATGTGAAGCGGCCGAAGTCAGAAAATTTAAACGAAGGGTGAGATAAGTTTGCTAAAATGATTTGTGGCCGTGGGTAGGGCCGAGCCGTAATGTTCAAAACAAGTGGACGGTCCGGGGCAAACAAAATGTGGAACGGCCAGAATCAGAAAGTTAAAACAAAGGATGAGAAAAGTTTGCTAAAATAATTTATGGCCTTTAGAATGTCGAATCGTAATTTTAAAATAAATATCAGCACGCACCGGAGTAGCACGAAGGGTGGGGTAAGTTTGCTAAAATGATTTGTGGCCGTTGGTTGGTAAGGTGGAGCCGTAGTCTTTAAAACAATTGGACGGCCCGGAGCAAACAAAATGTGGAACGGCCACAGTCCGGAAATTTTAACTTGGGGTGGGGTTAGTTTAATAAACTGTGGTGGAAAAGATAGTAGTGCAATTCATGTGACACAAAACCGTATGACATGTTGAAAGGTCATGTGGAAAGGAATATGCAGGAAAAGGTCTGCCTGTGTTTCATCCCTTAGCTGTAAACATAGACAGTAC